TGTATGTGTGCAGAAAGAGGCCACATTGCCAATACAATTATTGACACTAAACTGCATAATATTACAACAACAGAGCAATATTAAGATAATGATATAGTAAAACATCAAAATACAATCATATTAGTATTGTAAACACTGAACTATTGAGATTAAATATAAAAAACTATGGTGTAGTACCAAGTTGAGTACAGCTGGGGGCAGAATTGGACCATTACAAGGCCCCATTGACTCCCACTTTATGAATTTGGAATAAAGTTTCAACATTAATATTTCAAAAACTACAAGTTGTACAGGTACCAAAAGGCATAGCAATCATTTGACACAGGACATTTACAGATAGAAATTACAATGGCAGCTGTAAGACAATGTAGACAGGAGCACTGGACTTTCAGAATGAACTTTGACCAAGTTCAAATGTGTTTTCTATACCAGCTTGTGCCTGTCACGTTAGCAGATGTTTGTAATTAAGGTAATTGTGTGACAATATGAAGTTTGAAGAGATGTTTGTTAAAGTTGCAGTAGCTGGATTTGAACCCTGATCTCCCGCATGAAAGCCCACAGTGCTCATCATGAGACTATAGGARATGWGGSAGAGGACAATCCCAGGGATTGGATTGTATGTACAGAAAAAGTTTACCTTGACAATGCAATTATTGACACTTAAGTGCAATATATTACAGCAATAGGACAACATAAAGACACTATTACAGTAAAACATCAAAATACAATCATATTAATGTTGTAATCACTGAACTACTGAGTTTAAATATTATGAAACTATGGTGCAGTACCATATTGTGTAGATGCAGCAGGGGCAGTATTGGACCAATATAAGGCTCCATTGACTGACATTATAATTTATCAAACATTAATATTTCAAAAATTATAAGTTTTACAGGCACCAAAAGGCATAGCCATCGTTTGGCACAGGGGCTTTACAGATATAAATTACAATGGCAGCTCTAGGACAAAGTATGCAGGAAGAGAAGCATGGCAAAGTTGAGATGACTTGGATGGGAAACGAATCACAATAGTGTGCATTGCTTTGGCAATGCACACTGATGAATCAAACTGCAAGAGCTTACAAACTGACTTTAACCCTGCTGCTGTCCTTGGGTCAAAATGACCCTTGAGACCTCAGGAGCAAATAGTCTGAAAGGCAGAGCAAAATGCTATGCCTTTGATTTAATTTCTATTAAAAAACTTTGTTAAAATATGTGATATTTGCTAATTGTCAAAAGCATTTTCCTTTAAGCCACCTGTTACCAGCACCTGCTGTGTTAATTACTGAGGCGTATAAAGCATCATGCCTTCCAGAGGTTAATGTTCGAGTCATACAGTGTAGGAAAAATAAAATCATGCACACATAATACTGTTTCCAAGGAGACAAAAAGGCACTCTGCATGACCCGAGATTATACAATCAACAAACCGTGTAATCACGGCAGCTGGCATTTAAAATAAAAAAAACATTAGCTTTTTATTTTCATGCATAGATATAGAAAGTTGGGTTGTTTTAGCGATTTAAGATGCTTTAAACAAACTTTAGAGTATTTTAGCGCAGGTTTATTTATAGTTGTGAACTTACACAACACAGTGTTATTTTGTTTCTGAGCCCAGTGATGCTGTGTGTGAACGGAAACGTCAGAACCATCACTACTCCTGCTCAGGGGTGGAATGGGAGGATTTTAACAGGATTAGTGTTTGTGGTTCTGTTAGGGTAGTCATCATTCGAGGGATCACAGCTCAGACATCGGCAGCGGTTTGATAAATAACACTATAATGGAGCGGTGAGCACAGCCTTGTGTGTGTTCACTCTCAGTAACACGTTGAGCTGACAGAGCTCCTACCATTGCAGAGGAGTAAGGATGACCCCCCTTTTGCAGCCGTTCTCCCCCTCTCCGCTGACAACACATCGGCTCATTACAGCAGTGTGAGAATAAGACAAATAGGGAGGAAGGAAAAGATGAGAGATGTCAGCCGGTGCTGTAGAAAGCTGATCTCAAGAGGGCTGGATCACTCCCACTGGTTTCTCTGCCTATCGCTGTGCACTGCCTGTAGGGTGGAACACAGTGGGGGGAAATGCTTACACTGTCGCTGGCTATTGTGTGGACTGGGGGGGCTCCCTCAGAGTGGATGATACGCATTCAACAGACGTTTCCACCTGCGGATGGAGGTCTTTGCTCCATGCTTTCCACACATGGATTCTTTGAAAGAGGAGCTACTGAGACTCTGACTTGTTACATAATGGACAAAGTGCCTTTGTTCCCTTCTTCTTCTTTTTGCATTTAAAATTGAGAGGATTTTAGTTACAGCATGGCAAAAACTGAATCTTGTGCATGCAAACTGCTGATGTCTTCAGAGGAGATTTCCTTATTTAGGTGAATAGTAATGGCTCGGAACCCCCAGTTTATCTCGGGGAATACCCTGTTGAACGTAAGCCAAGACCAAAAAAAAAGTACCTTTGGAGGACGCACCAAGAGTGGCCACAAAACAAAATCTGACCAAAGAAAAAATCAGGCAAGTGCTCTTTAAGTTTTTTTTCATTACTTTATTTATTTTTATCCTTGAACACTTAAATAAAAATTCTTGAATTATTGATAACTTGACAACTGGATATACAGGTAAATGTAGTGAAGCTATTCTGAGAATTTTTAATTAAAAAATATCAGGGTTACTTTGGCACACATTAAGTTTAGCTTGAAAATACTTCACTTTAAAGCAGAGGAGCCCAAAGTGGGGCCCGCGGGCCAAAATTGGCCCACCAAGACATTTGACTTGGCCCACCGGCAGTTGTCCTGGTTATTAGATTGTAACATTATGTCTTATGTAGAAACACATGTCTTTTCAACCATTGGTCCAACTATATGTGCAACGAGCTGTAGTCAGATAGACTTAACTCATGGTACTCGCTTTATCTTTGAATTATGTTAAGATTAAATATAAAATACAAGTAACTACAAGAAACATGTAGATTAGATTTAAACCCATATCTAGATTTGCACACCATAAGACCCCATATAATCAAATTTGAAATTATGAGAAATCCCATGAGTCTCTGCTGCCTGAGCATTCGTTGAATTTTCTCCATGTACATTGGCTAAAAACGTCAAAAAAGTAAAAAAAAAAGAAAAGGTGTGGGCAACCGCACTGGCTGCTAGCTTAATCATAAAAAAATGAAACAACTTTACTTAAGCAATATTTGCATTTCTTATATTATTGCATTTGGCCCACGGTCCTTAGATTGATTTTAATTTTGGCCCTCTCAGGGAAACTGTTTGAGTACCCCTGCTTTAAAGAATAAAAAAAATCAGTGTTTCAAAAATTATTGTTTTCGTAAACATTCATTTTTTTGGAGGAATTTATGTCACACTTAAAAATAATTTAGAAGAAGTTCAAAGGTAACGCTGAATGAGATGTAAAGTTTCAGAGCATGGTTGTGGTTGGATTGTGGGAGTAACAGGTTTAGGAGGGAGAACCAGACATCCTTTTTTACTCTCCAATTGATCCCAAGGTCTCAAATGTTACCCCTTTGGCAGGTTTGGGGTCTGCCTACCAATGAATGAGACAAAGCATCTCCAGAGGGAGAACTCAGCATCAGATGCCTGAACCACCTCTGATGAGGAGGAGCAGCAGCTCCAAGCTCCCCCCAAACGATGGAGCTACTCACCCAACTGCACTACCAATAATAAACCAGTGCAATGTTGCTATCCTGGACCCATCAGGCTCCATCAGGTTGAGATTCTGGTGGTCTTACTTGAAGAACTTGCCCAAACCTGTAAAGATCATCCACATTCTGGGTGGGTCATGAGAACCAAAGAAGGTTTTTGTTTCTTAGAAGTGGTGCAGTACGGATGTTCTTAGCACAAACTAGAAAACTGGGCTTTAAACTTGCCTATTAATTACCATTTATTCTCCTGTCATTTTATTTGTTTATTATTTGTTTCTATAAAGTTTTCCATTTTATTTTGTTGTATTGTTATTTGGTTTTACTGTATAGCTTTTTGATGAACATCTGCCATTTTAAACATGGTAAGTAAAATGTTGTCAGGTTTAGGGTGTTTTTAAATTAGAAATCAAGACTTTGGACATTTCATGTGTGAGATTCTGAGAAGAGAAATGAATTTGCTCCAGATGCAACATTTAATTAGGATTTTTTTTACAGGTTGAAACAAAAAGAATCACTGTGAGATTTTCTAACAAAACTTGTATTATTATTTTCTGTTTATCAGTGATGTTTGATGAGATCAACATTTTTTACTGCACATAAACTAGTTTTTTAGTCTTTTATAATGAGTGATTCCACCCACTGTGAAGCAAACATCTCATGAGAGCTGCTAAAATGTTCATGACTCAGTTGTTTTCTATTTTCAGACCTAACAATGACTGAATCTTCCCTCGGTTTAAAAATGGTTTAAAAATGAAAGTCATAATTATCAGAGGGAAACACTTGTATTCTTGTTTCTTACATTTCCATACCTAATTTTATCTGCAATTAATACAAGAGGGTACAAAGACTAAATAAAATCTGCAGCAAATAAAGTTTATTTCTCTGGTAAAAGGAGGACAATAAAGTTTCCATTCCAGTAAAATGCAAATAATTCATTGAAATGCAGGGAGGAAAACAATTAAATAGAAGTAAATTTATCTTCACCTACACCCTTTAACATTAAAGATCATTTTTCCACAATGAGATTGTTTTCTAATCAATTACTCATCAGAATTTACCTGCTTCTTCCTGCAGGTTATCAGTTTATTACATTTCTGTTCAGTTTAAAACATGCTAACATAAGCTGAGGTCTGATTTTTCACTGAATCACCTTTTCAGTATTTTACTAAATATCATCAAAGTTCACTAACAAGTGTCATGTTTGTATCTCCTGGTGCAAACATCAGTTATCATTAGAGCCCAAATGTCAAAGACAAGTGAATGCACYGTTTTATTGCTTTGACATGGTTGCAGATTATATTTGTTTTATTCTTTTCTTTTTGAAATATTAGATTCAGAAACCACAGAGGATGAAGGTGGAGACCAATTTGAGACCAAAGAAGTGTGTGGGGATGTTGAGGACCAGGCTGTCCCCAGTGGTAATTAAATTGTGTTCAGCATATGCTTTTTAATTTCTTTCAGATTATTTTACTCAAAGACAACATTGATTTGATGAGACCAGCTGTAACAATGATTTCCATATTTATTTGGAACTTATGTTTTGCTAAATGAGGACTACAAAACTTATTTTTGCAAAAAAAAATTAGAAATGTTTTTTTTTGGCTATGTTTCAAACTCACATTTCTTGTAGCTCTGACCAAATTCTGAGGAAATGATTGTTGCTTTGATGTTGCAACTCTAACTTGTGTTTGGTAATCAGCTGCTCAGATCAAAAAGAGTGTTATCGTGTGGTGTAGTGGTGTATGCAAAGTGAAAATGAGCAAACCTTTAAATATTAGCTCTTTGAAACAGTGTTCATGTGAAACTTGTGATTATATGTGCTTTAACTTTACACTGTTCCATTTTAACGAAAATAACTGACAAAACTATCAATGTATTTTTTCTTTTTAACAAAACAGTGATGGACAAATGTAAAGAGGATACAAACAGAACACGTGGACATGAAGATCCCTCCAACAGGCAAGCCCCAAACATACCTTAGCGCTTAAAAAACCAATAATATTGTGGTGGACTCAAATCCTATGTTATGAAATAATTACTGCCCACAGATTCCAACAGAGATGTTTTAAATCCCCTGTTTTAGAGGCCAGTCAGAAGAATTTTCAAGAGAATCTCCCCCACAAGCTCTTCCACCACCATCCCCAAGACTGGTCAAACGTACCTCCACTTCTCCGATGCCGAGCCGCTCTGGTTCAACCACTCCTATCAGCCTGCGTAAGAAAGCCGCCGTGCCAACTGAATACCAGGACACCGTTCCTGGAGAGTTTGAAGAAAAAATCAAGCAGCCTAGAAGTTTGTCTCAAGGAGGCGCTCCAGACTCCCGTCCACAGACTCCAGTGAGTGAGTGCTCCCGGAAAGAGTTTACCCTGAGACCTTCTCCAAAGCTTACAAGAGCAAGCTCAAAAGTTTTCGAGAAGGTTCGTGACTTAGAAGAGCGCAGGCGAGGTCTTGATATTCCAGAAGGTTCCATCTCAGGTAGATCCTGGGCAGGGTTTAATCGCGCAGGATCTGTAGATTCAGACGATGGTGGAAGCCGGCTGGGCATCTCCAGAGAAAGTTCAAGGGAAGATCTTAGAGAGGCCCTGAAAGAAGATGCAGCTGAACGGAGATCCATGTTCAAACAGAGGGCCGCTTCGCTGGAGGAGAAACCTCGTTACTCTCAGAAAGTTCAGGACATTGAAAATAAGTTCACAGAGGAGCTGCAGCGCATCAAAAAACTCGTTGGGAAGCCCCATCTGAAAAAGTCCTTTTCAACGGAACAACTTACGCTGAAAGGGAAGCAGCGCCAGCCTTTTCGAAAAATCGAACCGATTCCTCCGCAAGTCCTGCAAAAGTTGCAAGAAAGGGAACGCGTGCAGTGGGCAAAGGAACAGAGAGAGAGGGAACTCAGTCAGCAACCAATGCAGCAACAAGAACTGCATCAATCCCAGTTCCAAAGGTCAACAAACACTGGCTCAACCACCGTGACAAGTAGATTCAGGGAGATTACGGGCCCCCCAGAGTCAGTGCAGCTATCTGACCTGCCAGGACAACGATCAGTGAGAGAACTGAACAGAGTCAGTCCAGTAACTGAAATAATTCAGCGATCATCATCACCAGCATTACATCAACAACAAAGGGAAGAGTTGACAAATGTCGCAATGACATTACGAAAGGTTGAACGAAGACCACCTAGTCCACTTGTTCAAAGGGTATCTCGAATGCAAGAATCCCCACACATCCAAGAAACCCTCGTGCAAACAATCCCAAAAAACGAGGCGTCGGGAAGAAAGACGCCAATAGAAGTAGCTGTAAGAAAAATTGAAAACAGACCTGAAAGTCCTTTGGTGCAGAAAAGGACAGCTGTGATGCAAGATCTTTCTCTTCAGCCTCCTCTGAAACCCCCGAGAGGTTCAAAAGAGGAGAAAATGGAAGTGGAGCTATCCAAACCAGCCTCGAAGGTAAAAGTTCCTACCATTATTGTTGAAGATGAGAAAATGGTAGAGGATGTTCCTACAAAGACAAGCGAGCCCCAACAGAAGAGTTCTGGTTCCAAAGAACGCAAACAGCTGAAGGTTAAAGGAAAGCATTGCCGCCCTCGACCTCTGTCTCCAGAGTTAGGTTTGTACTGCTTCTTTTATAAACCAAACTCTTTCTCTCTTTTTTAAACAACCACTGTTCCAATCTCTCCCAATGTCAGGTTATTTTCTATATATTATCAACAGGATAATATCTAACATGTTCTCATGTCGGACTCGTAACATATTGACAYGCAGGGGGGTACTCTGCGCGTCTGTCCTTGCTGCCCGCAGCTTTTCCGGGTTGCGTCACAGGATTAACGGTTAACTTTAGGGTCTGTGGTCATGGATAATGGTTAATTTGAGATACTGGGGTCAGGGATAGACTGTACATAACTAATATAGGTTAAATTTAGGGTTTCGGAAAATGGTTAACATGAGGGATCAGGGTTATTGGTTAACTTTAGGGTCTGTGTTCAGAGACCCATCCTCCTCCGCCTCATCTCATACAGAACGGACGTGCGGGGGTACCCCCGGCAACATATTAATGCTTGGTCAAGCGTCAATATGTTGACGCGGGGGGCATGAGAACAGGCTCTAATATCCCAAGGCTTGTCTTTTTAAATTGTACAGATTCCTCAGATGATTCTTATGTGTCTGCCGAAGAAGACCCGATGGAGGCTCCAGTGTTTGAGTGTCCCCTCCAGGACACCGTAGCATCTGCTGGTGCAGATGTGCTACTAAAAACTATAATTGCTGGGACTCCTATCCCTGATGGTAGGACCGTTCATTTTGTGTTTTACCAGAAGTTATTTTAAATCACGCATTTATACTGTCGACTGTAAATTTGACTAATTAGTTTTTAATGTTTTCTCTAATCAAGTTACTTGGACAAAGGACAACACTGACGTTTCAAGGATTGCACATTGTACGGTGAAGGTGGAGGGTGAGCGCCATAGTCTGCTGATAAAATCAGCGAAACCAAGCGACGCTGGAAAGTATTGCGTAACTGCAGTTAATCAGGTGGGCAGAGCCTCCAGCTGTGCCGCTCTAACGATCAAAGCAGGTAAGTTCGGATTGCATTTGCACCTCACAACTACACACTGATAAAAACTGGAATTATTGCAGAATTTATGAAGAATGTAACTTGAGAGCTTCTTGAAGTCCATATCTGTCTCATTATATTCCGATCCTGCTGCCATTAAAATTTGAACAGAGAGAAAATGGAAAACATTGTTAAAGAAAAAACAAAGTTTTGGAAGAGTSTTTAGTCAAGCAAAGCCTGTTCTTTCTTTGTATTTTGATGTGATTAAATTGGATCTTCTTGCACCGTTAGTGCTGAGGCCTGACAATTTCATCATTTTGGTTATAATGTGTATAAAGATGAAAGAAGTAAACAATATATCTGTTTAAAACAATTTATCCTCCTCAACGTTTCTTTAAAAATAGTCTACATGTCCCAAAACAGGCTGCTGTACAGAACAGTAATTTACATTGCGTTTTTGCTTTCTCCTCCCACACTGACATTGTGTTTCTCCACTGCTGCTCCTTTATTGTTATCTTCCTGACTGAGATGTGTGTACGCCATATACTCCAGCTGAACAACCTCACTTATAGTTACCATAGCAACAAAGAGGTGAAACTGAACCTATAAATTGCCCACCGAGTCTCACTAGCTCCCCTCGCTGTGAATCCTTATTGTTGTGGTGCCATGTTATTTTGCATTTCAGATAATAATTATGTGGCATTGCGGGGGTGGGTGGGTTGGGGGGGGGGGGGGGATTTGTGTTGCATGTGAACTCTTTGAACTCCGGTGTTCTCACTGAGTTGTGCAAAAAAACTAAAAATCAATGTTTACACGGACAAACTGAAAGGCACTGTTTCCAAGTATTTTTGCAACACACAACGGGGAACCTAACGGACTATTAACATTTTTTAGAGTCTATGCAGGAGGCTAAAGGAAGCCTGGGAGTGCCCATGGAGATCAGCAGCCCTATTACATCTGATGAAGAGTATCTAAGTCCTTTGGAGGAGGCTATGGATTTTGGAGTCCAAGAGTCAAGGCGAACTACTGAGTCACGATTTAGAGAACCCCCCGCATTTCTGGTGAGGATGCAACACATTTAGTTTACTTTATATTTTAGTTTAAACCCCTTGCCCTTTGTATTCAACTGTCTTAATG